ATTTGAGTTAAACATACTAAGCTTATATCTCAAGTGTGCCACTTCCTTTGGTAAGAAGCTTAAACTTTCCAAGGCTCTGTTTTCTCATCTGCAAAATGGAGATAAGACTTGTGCCTCACAGAGTTGCTGTGTGGATTAAATGAGAAAATGTAAGCTTAGCATAGTTTGGCCCTTTACTACTCACATTAACGTATCAATAGAAGAGGATAAAGTATGTACAAAATAATCTTTCTAAGAAAGAAGACACATTTTAGTAATCAGAACAATTAAATATACTTTAAGCCAGGGGTCCCCAACCCCAGGAACCGGGCTGCACAGCAGGAGGTGAGTGGCATTACCGCCTGAGCTCTGCCTCCTGTCAGATCAGGGGCAGCGTTAGATTCTCATAGGAGCATTAACCCTATTGTGAACTGCGCATCTAAGGGATCTAGGTTGCACTCTTTAAGAAAATCTAATCTGAGGTAGAACAGTTTCTTCCTGAAACCACTCCCCCCATCCCCCATTCTCCCACTCCCCCACCCTTGTTCTGTGAAAAAATTGTCTTTCTCGAAACTGGTCCTGCTGATTGAAGCCTTAAAAAGAATAGGTTTTAACATTCTCATCTTGCATAACTCATGCACTGAAAATTTGGGTTACTTGGAGTTTTGTAAAACTTTAATTTTCTGTTTCTTTTTTCTTTTTTGAGATGGAGTTTCGCTTTTGCTGCCCAGAGGCATGGCACAATCTCGGCTCACCTCAACCTCCACCTCCTGGGTCCAAGAGATTCTCCTGCCTCAGCCTCCTGAGTAGCTGGGAATACAGGCATGCACCACCATGCCTGGCTAATTTTGTATTTTAAATATAGACGGGGTTTCTCCATGTTGGTGAGGCTGGTCTCGAACTCCTGACCTCAGGTGATCCGCCCACCTTAGCCTCCCAAATTGCTGGGATTACAGGCGTGAGCCACGGCGCCTGGCAAGTTTTTTGTTTATATACTGTATAGGGGAAGAAAAATATCTTTTTCTTTTACCAGTCTTAGATTCATTGGCTGGGGCCCTTTACAAGACAGATGCACAAGACAAAACCATACAAATTTATTTAATTTAAGTTTTTTTTTTTTTTTTTTGAGATGGAGTCTCTCTCTGTCGCCCAGGCTGGAGTGCAGTGGCGCAATCTCAGCTCACTGCAAGATCTGCCTCCCGGGTTCACGCCATTCTCCTGCCTCAGCCTCCCAAGTAGCTGGGACTACAGGCGCCGCAACCACGCCTGGCTAATTTTTGTATTTTTAGTAGAGATGGGGTTTCACCGTGTTAGCCAGGATGATCTCGATCTCCTGACCTCATGATCCGCCCGCCTCAGCCTCCCAAAGTGCTGGGATTACAGGCATGAGCCACCGCGCCCGGCTTATTTAGGTTTTGTTTTGTTAAGTAAGTTTTGTTTGACACAGGAGCCTTCATAAGGAAATGAAGACCTGAAGTAGCTGAACTTGACTGTTTTTATTCTAGTTTTGATGAAGGGGATTGTAGAAGAATTGAATAAGATAAAAAGTATGAGCTAAGTGTAATAAACCGGGGGAAACTTAGCAAGGCTTGTTTTTTCACTTTCTTCTTGGGGTCTGTGTCTATGTTCCTTTCCTCCCAGTGTAGGGAGGGTACCTCTCACAGAAGAGTCTTATGACTGGCATCAGGGGAAGGTCACCAAGTCTTTCCTGTACCTGCTGTTTCTCAAATTCCTTCATCTTAAAGTATTCAGCATGCCAGGTACTGTATTTTGGGGTAGCGTGTCCCAAACCCTCAACAACTGACTTTCATTTCAAAAGCTTTTAAATCCCCTGTGATAAAAGGTGCAGTTTGTAATGTATGCAACCATACTTAGAAATCTAAAAACTGATAATAGGATTTGGCAGGGGGGTACCCCTATATTGATTACATATGTTTATCTAGTACTTTGATCAAAATTGTTTCCTTTTGAAAAATATAGCAGTGTTGACTTTGGTGGTGGTGGTGGGGGGTTGTTCCTACTTACATGTCTGCTGAAGCATACTATTTTAAGGTTTTGTTTTCTTTATTTATAGATAATTTAAATGCTGACCAGTTACCCTCTCCTTAGAGGCTTTATAGGTGCATTCTTATCAGTAAGATACATATTTACTATATGACTCAGCTAGATTCTATATAGATCATGTCCTTGTATCATTACCAGTACCATATAAAAATGCTATATGGATATATAGGGGAGAAAACATAATTTATTTTGTTTCCTTTTTTGGATTGTTAGTTGAGACATTCTCTTGAAAACAAAAGCCAGATTAACAAAAGAAAAAAGTTTATTAAAGTTTGCTGTACCCATCACTTGGGGGAGGCCTCAGTTCAAAAGTATGTCTCTTTCAAGGCAGTGGTGTGGGCGACTTGCTTAAATAGTATCTTAACAAAAAGCCAGAAATTCTATATAGTGACAAGACAAAAAAGATTCCTCTTCAGGCCTCCAAAAGGTGGGGTAATATGGGAACACAGATTTACTACTGCTGTCTCTGAACTGATAAGCAGTGTTGCAAAGGGGGCCTAGCTTTAGGTGAGAAAGGCAGCGAGGAGGGGCTGGCAAAGTGTGCCCTTTTTTAAAACTTTTAACTTGAACTAAAATCCCCAGTATTTTAGAGAGGAAAATTTTGTTTTCCTCCAGATAATTAACAGTTTATAAATGTAGTGTTCTAAGAAGTCTGTTAAAGAAACACCTTAATCCTGCTTCCGTGTGAATTATATTACCTATGAAGCATCATTGTACATTTATGTAAATTCACATTTGCTAAATCACACCGAGGGAAAGCTTAATATAATCATTTCATCATTATATAATCCATTCAGTGTGATTGCATTTCCTCCTGATGCAATTTGATAACCTTTGTTTGTATAGGTACAAGATAATGTTCCACAGATAATGCAGTTTTATACATTTTATTTTCAATGCTCTTTAGTGGGTGTATGTGTATGCCATGTAGAGAAATTAGATGAAGTTTCTCTTAACTTCATTATGGGCAACAAAATTCCTTGGCTTTGTTACAGTTTACTAGGCCCCGTAGTTAAAACACCTCTGAGTGTAGGCCAGTTGTAGAATACAAAAGTACTTGTGATAAGAGCTGTAATATGAGATTGAAATTTGTTACACAAAAAAACTGTCCTTTTTTTGAGGATTCAGTTTCTTTAAAACAAATTAATAGCGACTGTTTTGGGATAGTATAAAGTACAGTTTAATTTTTAACAGTGAAAGAGGCTTTGTAGTGGGGTCTCAGTGGTTAAGTCCAATTGTGGGACAAGTAAAAATGTTTAAGGGTCTTTTTATTACAGAATGAAAGCTATATTGTTTCTTAAGGAATTTAATGAACTAAAAAATGTATTTGCTTAACACTCTGATTGGTAGTATGTCAACCAAGTATCTTCATTTAACAGAAAGTACATACTTTTGTTAAATAATGAAGTTTTCTGGAAATCTGTTAACTAAGGATACTTAGAATAGGAATGTGAATATTTCAAATTTCGAATCATCCTTTTCTTATGACAAAACTCTTTTTGTAGCATTACACTGCTTTAGAATAAAGTTCATTAATGCTTGCATAAGAGGTACTGTATGTGTCAAGAATAAAAAGTTGGAACTTGATAAAGTTACAGGATTTCTTTCTTCCTTTCCCAACTCTACTGTTTTGTCATTGCTCTTGGAGATGAAAGAGTCTAAACCTGCATGTCTATTTAAGTGTTGAATTTCTTGTTTCTCAGTTGGGAAATGAAAGCAAAAATCTACGCTTGATTTTATAATTGACCTATTTGTTTTCAAAAGTATGCACATAAATGTCAAAATTTAAATCTAATGTAAACTATTCACCCTAAGCATTAACATATCTATGTAAAAATAGTTACCCATATTGCAGGTTTAATTACCTTGGTGTTTAAGAGCCCTGATGAATATTAATCTGTTTACCAGGATATGATCCGGAATTATTTTCACTCTGTGCTATTAGAAAGCTCTTAAAAACACCAACATTATGTTTTATTTCTCTCACTACATAGCAATTCCTGGGCAACATAGAGGTGACATCAAGAGTAAGAGAGAAAGGGGATTAGATGTCGCCACTGGGATTGAGGTGTTAGAAATAGTACGTTTGTTTAAAGAGAGGAAATGAAAATTTTTTTCTTTTTTCTATGCATAAGAAATGAAATTTTGTGGGGTGGGGGAGGAGATCTCTGGTTTGTGATCTTCTTTACTGATTTAATGCATTCTTTCAATATCTATTGGAAGTTATACTATGTCAGTAACTGGTAGATAAATTCTGGGGTTACATACCAAACAAGAGAGACAAGCTTCTGCTTTCTTCGGAGCTTATGTTCTCTTTAGGGATAGCAAAAAAAATAATAATAAGTAAACACGACAATTTCATTGACTAGTAAGTGCTATGCAGGAAACACAATAGAGGGTAGAGAGATAAAGAATGATTGGTGGAGTGATTTTAGATTTAGTGCTCTGATAAGGTCTCTCTGAAAAGGTGATAATTAAGATGATGAGAAAGTACCAAGTGGTGGCTGGTTTCTTAAAATGAGGTATTAAATTACCTAGATCAACATATTGGATAAAATATGTAATATTTAAATGCTTTAAACTCTTAAGCTCCAAAATGATACCATTTTTTTAATGATAGCCTGTAACTAGGTGGGGACAGTAGAGAAGGATGGTTTAATGCTGAGCAGAAAAGGAAAACAAAATAGAAAGAGATTTTTAAAAGAAGTACCAAAGGCTGGGTACAGTGGCTCATGCCTGTAATCCCAGCACTTTGGGAGGCTGAGGCGGGCGGATCACTTGAGGTTGGAATTTCGAGACCAGCCTGACCAACATGGAAAAATCCTGTCTCTACTAAAAATACAAAATTAGCTGGGCTTGGTGGCGCGTCCCAGTAATCCCAACTACTCGGGAGGCTGAGGCAAGAGAATCGCTTGAACCCGGGAGGCAGAGGTTGTGGTGAGTTGAGATTGTGCCATTGCACTCCAGCCTGGGCAACAAGAGTGAAACTCCGTCTCAAAAAATAAAAATAGCAACAAGTAGCAGAAATATGGCCATAGACTACCTTTCGTAAGTGTTTGTGTTGCAGGTACATGTAGCCCATCTTGACTGGAGATGGTCCAATCCATACTGTCTCCCAAAGCAAATGTAAGCCTCTACAGATGAAACATATTATCCTAGACCTCAGTGAACCCCTACAATTACATTTTCCAGCAAGTAGTCAAAGATAAAGCATACGAAGAAACAGACAACTGAAGGAGAACCAGCAAGAAGAGACAGCAGAATTGGAATTCTATAGCCTTGACATATTAAAAATACTAGATACATATTTAAAATAACTATGCTTATGAATTACAATACATATGACGATATCTCCAAGGAAATCACAAAAAGCAGCATAGCAGATTTGAAAAGGAACCAGACAAAACTTTTGGAAATGAAAACCCTAGTAACTGAAATTTAGTAAGCCTGGTTCTGTGTTGAGTACTTTGTATCAAATGAATTATCCTACTGAAACCTTATAAACGTTAGACCATATATATATACGACAGCTATTTGAATGCCTTGGAGAGCAACCAGTGTAGGTTCGACTTGAGGGTCTGTGATTCTTGAGATAAGAGAAGCTCGTGAAGTGATCTCCATATTTATTCTGGTCTTTTCCTTGAGGGAATTTTCTAATTCTCAGTGCCAGATGGAGATCAAGCAAAAAGTAGTTTTGCATGGCTAAGGAGCCTAGAGAGGCTGGTAATGGAGGCCTAATCATGGGGCTTGGGGGTGGGAGGAGAACTGCAGACAACTGAATTTTCTGGACATAATATCTGCATATAAGTTCTCCTTTAATTTTGGTAGTTTAATCACTACCAGACCCAGAGCAGGATTTCTGGAAACCCATCTGATAACAGTGACTTTGAGGCTTAAGAGCTGAGCAAAAATTTGAGCAACTTTGAAATACAGATCAAGAGTTCAAATCCATAAAAGACTAGTAAGTGGTACACTGAAGCCGTTATCAAAAAGTATATCTTTTACGATATATTCACCTGTGTAAATTGTGTTCTTAAAAGCTAAGGATGAAAGAGAATTTGTTTAAAGAAATAGAGTAATAGGCTAAGGTCTGTGATCTTTATCTTATAAACATATGGAGGAGTAAGGCTGTGTCCCAAATGCAAATACTGCTTGAGGTATTTGAGATTAAACTAAGAAAATACAGTAGTCCCTCCTTATCCATGAGGAATATGTTCTAAGACCCCCCGGTAGATGCCTGAAACCACAGGTAGTACTGGACTCTATGTGTAGTGTCACTTAATCTGATAAAAGTGACTGTGTGGGTGGGGAGGGAAGGGTAGCATATACAGCATGAAGGCACTGGCAGAGGAACAATAATGTCCTGAGTGGGACAGGGTGGTTTAAGATTTCATCACACTACTCACAATAGTGTGCAATTTAAAACTTTTGAATTGTTTATTTCTGGAATTTTTCACTTAATATTTTCAGACTGTGGTTGACTGTGAATAATTAAAACCATGGGTCGTGAAACTGCTGATGAAGGAGGCCTACTGTATTACACCTTCGATCATAATTGTCCACCATCTGAATGAAGCAATATATGATTCTTACTAACTTTTCACTTGCTGTACCAGATTGCTACAGAAGGTAAGACCTACTTAGAGGTCAAGGATATCCTTGTATTGGTCCATACCTAATTCTTTAAGTCTGTTCTTTGTTTTTATCTTGCTAAGGGTTTCCAATATATCTTTGTTCTTATATATAACCAGCTTTTAAATGCTTAGAAAAATTTGATGTAAGTACTACAATGTCCTCAGGATTGACCAGCACAGTTAATGCATGACCAAATACATTCAACATCCACAGGAACATATAGCACTCAGGAGCATGTTTTTAATAGGTCAGTGAATTTTCTATAGAGCTTCTGCTGAGAATCATTTTTTAAAGTAATATGCTTGTCTCAAATATGCTTGTCTAAGTCAATAAGTCCATTTCACTAGAAAGTTTACAGGCAGTAAATAAAGTAATACACTGAAGGAATTTTTATTGTCTCAAGTGACACAAGGTCTCTAGTTTTCTTACTGTTCACAGCAGTTTTACTACAGAAGCACAACAGTCATTCCTGTTCTCTTAGTGGAATTATTCGTGGCTTTTAATAAGGTAGATTTTATTAGGTTTCAAGATCTTGAATTTTTTTAGGCTTCTGTTTCCATACACACATATTCACATTTAATATGGCTTTCTAAAGTACCTTTAGATCAGAATTCATCTTTACTTTTGCTGTGTTTAAAGCATTTTCTATTGAACTTTTCAGTGAAATTCACTCAATGTAATATTTTTCCACTTTCCCAAAATCTAATTTAATATTAAAGCTGATTTACAGAAATTCATCTAAAACTTTGCTACTCAAACTGTGGTTCATGGACTAGCAATCTTTGGCCATCACATGGGAGCTTATTACCCATGCAGAATGCTCCTCCTCCCCCATGCCGTCGCTTACTGACTCATAATCTGCATTTTAATAAGCTCAGGTGATTCATATACACATTTAAGTTTGAGAAGCATAGATCTACAGATCTAAAAGTTTATTTACTAGTGCTTATACTTAATTTAGTTAACCCTCAAAGGGAAAGAGCACTGTGTTTTAGAAAATGTATACCACAGCATGAAACATCAAGGTATATTAAAAGGTTTCTAGGAATATCCTAGAGGCTGATGTAATCTGTTCTTTTTGGAAAACAATAATTTTTCTTTTCTTTTTTCTTTTTCTTTTTTCTTTTTTTTTTTTTGAGATGGAGTTTCGCTTTTGTTGCCCAGGCTAGAATGCAATGGCGCGATCTCGGCTCACTGCAATCTCTGCCTTCCAGGTTCAAGCGATTCTCCTGCCGCAGCTTACTGAGTAGCTGGGATTACAGGCATGCACCACCACGCCGGCTAATTTTGTATTTTTAGTCAAGACAGGGTTTCTCCATGTTGGTCAGGCTGGTCTCGAACTCCCAACCTCAGGTGAATTCACCGTCCTCGGCTTCCCAAAGGGCTGGGATTACAGGCATGAGCCACTGCACCTGGCCTTTTATTTTCTTCTTAGTGGTTTTACCATGTCATTTGTTATATGCCTTTCTGTTTATCTATTAATAATCTAGTTACACATCTTCAGTTTCAGCTCTTTTCTGTAGACTTTTGAAACCAGTGTTTGTTCTCTCTCCCATTTGACTTAATTTCTATATCTGACATTTTCCATATCCAAAAAGAATATATTATCATTCTTTTCAAATTATGCTTTTTCCCGCAACTTACTTTTGTTAATCATACTAGGTTTTAGGCCTAGTAAAGTCAAGCATTCTCCAAGAGTCTTTTCACAACTTTTCTAGTATACAGTGATTTTTCCTTTCTTTGTTCCTGTAACCCTAGAGTAGGTATGGAATTCATGTCTTTAACCCAACTTTCTATTTCCATGTTATTTGTACTTCTAATAATAAAGTTTCTGACAATAAAATATGTCCTTGGAATGCCTCTTTGTAGATGGCAGTAATACTCCAAATGATTAAGTTGAAAATAGTTATGCCAAAGAAAGGGAGAAAATAGTTATGCCAGCAAGTACACCTTGTCTATTGGTTGACTGTAAATATTAATTCTTTTGTTTCTGTGTTTTCAGTTAACAGGGTTGGCATGTTATCTAGTAACCAACTCTTAACAAATCTTGACTCATTAAAAAAAAAACTAAATGAAAATCCCAAAAATAGAACAGTTCTTATAAAGCAAATAATGAGTATTTTTACCTTTAAGTACATAAGAAGTGGACTTAAAATTTATGCTTGATGCCTTATCAGATGTACTGGTAATCATTTCTTAAAGCTATATTGGATTATACAAATGTAAACTAATGGTATACTAACTTAAAAAACACAATCTTAAGACTAAGGAACATTGAAGATCATCATCCCCTTATTTTAAGGTAATGGAAACTGAGACAGCATTAAATGCCTGTTTCTAGTATTTCTTACCAAAAAGTATGTACAGCATATCTCTCAGCTTTTGATTTTTAGTCTAAAGTCCAGAAGCTCCAAGATGAAAAATTTCCAAATTATGCTCACTTCAAATAGAGAATATAACTTGGACTACGTGGCATTTGGCATGAGACTGCATGTGAATAATTTTAACACGAAAGACTTCCCGTTCCAAAAAAAAAGTTCCAAAGAGTAGAATGTAGTTGGTAGTTTGCCCTAATCGATTGTTGGGGACATCTAGAGTTGTGCATTTGAAAGCTTGTAAGACTTTGCCCAGTTTCACTCTATGCGTGTTTTCTACTATTGTTTTCTTTATAGGGCATGACAATCATTTTACCTTTTATAGCTGTTGTAAGCTTTAGCTATGTAGCACAGTGGGAACATACACAATTTTGCACTTGGGAAAGTACTACCCTGTTTTCTAGGTTATAATTACTGAAACAATTTTACCAGTTCTCCCCTCAGTTTCTGTTGAGGAGTACCCACATATGCCTACTGTTCTAGAGAAGTTTAAGATACCAGTCCCTCTGAATCAGAATTAATGCCTGCAGTATATTGGCTTCCAGGGTTTGTTGCTTTGTATTGGTCATCTTAAGTATAATGGGAGAAAGCTTTTGTTCTTATACAAGTGGATATAACCTTGATAATCTTGTATATCACTTTGAGAAATAGGAAAAATAGCTGAAAAATCAGAACAAAAATATTTTAAAATCTTTATTTTTCCAAAATACCAAAATGTTCTATGGGGATAATCAGGAGAAAAGAGGTGCTGTATGTGAATACCTTTAGATTTACTGTACACAGGCTAATCCTCATAATCCATTGCTTATCTTTTTGAACCAAGTTCCTATCTCCCCAAAATACCATGTTAATCTTCGGGTTAAATTTTGTTTCAAATCTTTATTTCCTTTGGGGAAAAAAAAAAAAAAGGCTGTTGTAGTGGTTGTTTTCCAAATTTTCCTTGCCTTGTCATTTTTTGTATGGGCTATCTGCAAAGGAGAAAATTTGTAATCTAAATTTAATATAGCTTCAAATATTTAAATGGTTTTTAAAAGTCCAAGAGAGTTTTCCTCTGAAAATTAAAAGATAGAGCCTTCTAGAACTTTAGAGCTCAGAACTAAAGAACTTTAAAAATAAAGTATTACTTTAAAAAAGACTATTTATGAAAAGTTGTTATTGTAGTATTACTGTTGTAGTTTTTTTTGAGACGGAGTTTCACTCTTTTTGCCCAGGCTGGAGTGCAGTGGCGCGATCTTGGCTCACCTCAATCTCCACCTCCCGGGTTCAAGCGATTCTACTGCCTCAGCCTTCTGAGTAGCTGGGATTATAGGCATGTGCCACCACGCCTGGCTAATTTGTATATTTAGTAGAGACAAGGTTTTTCCATGTTGCTCAGACTGGTCTCAAACTCCCGACCTCATGTGATCTGTCCACATCGGCCTCCCAAAGTGGTGGGATTATAGGCAAGAGCCACCCCCCGGTCAGGAGTATTGTTTGTCTGTTTGTTTGTTTTTTGAGACGGAGTCTTGCTGTCTCCCAGGCTGGAGTGCAGTGGCGCGATCTCAGCTCACTGCAAGATCCGCCTCCAGCATTCACACCATTCTCCTGCCTCAGCCTCCCGAGTAGCTGGGACTACAGGTGCCCGCCACCGCGCCTGGCTAATTTTTTGTATTTTTAGTAGAGATGGGATTTCACACTGTGTTAGCCAGGATGGTCTCTTATCTCCTGACCTCGTCATCTGCCTGTCTTGGCTTCCCAAAGTGCTGGGATTACAGGCGTGAGCCACCGCATCTGGCCGGACTATTTGTATTTTTAAAATAACGTCTGCTTCTAAATTTTTTGGTAGGTGAGATAACTTTGTATGTAGCTGCTGTTTAGACTCTTAAATGTTAAACCTGGCCAGCCGCCATGGCTCACGCCTGTAATCCCATCACTTTGGGAGGCCAAGGCTTGCAGATTGCTTGAGTACAGGAGTTCCAGACCAGCCTGGGTAATATGGTGACACCCTGTCTTTACAAAAATTACAAAAAAATTAGTGGAGCGTGGTGGTGTATGCCTATAGTCCCAGTTACTTGGGAGGCTGAGGTGGGAGGATCACCCAAGCCTGGGAAGTTGAGGCTGCAGTGAGCTGTGCCGTGATTGCACCACTATACTCCAGCCTAGGTGACAAGAGTGAGACCCTGGAGACTTTGTCTCAGAACAAAAAAAAAAAAAAAGAGTTAAACCTGTGTATCTCAATCACTATGTAGTTTGGTTTTTTTACACAAAAGTCCATTTTTTTTCCTTGCCCTTTGAACCAAAAAAATAAATAAATAATTTTCCCCCTGCTGACTACCTTGTATAGGTCCCGTTTTTGGTAACCTACAACCCTGAAAATCCTTGACTCCTGATTGGACATTTTGGGAGTCATCTAAAGCCATTTGGGAAGCATTGATCAGTCTAGAATGTAGATATGGAACAATGGCTCTTGCTACTTTTTAGCAGTGGAACTATTAAAATCAGTCATAGAAACTTAGGATGTACAAATGTACAACACATAAACAAACTCCTCTTCTTTTGAAGCAGTAGGCGCAGAGGTTGGATTTGGGCCCTATCTACTTGTATAAGCAAGAGGTGTGTGTGGCCCACACCCTGATGACT